TAGGGCAGTTATTCCTAATATCTATCTTAAACATATACAAAAACAGAACTTTTGATGCTCTTGGCTCACCTGCCAACTCTCCTCTAATCTGCTCCTACCCATCTTCCCAACTTCAGTAAATAGCATCATGTTTTACAAAATTGCTCAAGGTAAAAAATCTACAAATAATCTTTAATTTTTCCTTCCCTCACTTCCCACATCCAATCCATCAGCAATATATCTTGAACTTCTCCTCTTCTATCCCCACCATCACTTCACTCTAAGTCACCATTATCTCCTGCTTCAACTACTACAGAGGTCTTCTAGTCAACCTGCTTTTACTCCTACCCTACCATAATCACATTTTTTTTCATTCAGCAGCTAGAGTGATCTAAAATATAAATCAAAGCTTATATCTCTTACATAATAGTCTACCAGTTTCTTTCTGCACAATAAAATAACGCACAATAATCCTTATGTGGCTTTTTGCAAGGCTCAGCATCATTAGCTCTAGCCTACTCTCCTGCGCCCTATGCTGCAACCAAACAGTTCCTTCTTGCCTTAGAGCCTCTGCACTTTCTGGTCTCTATCTCTGTCTTTCTTAAGACCTTTAGTCTTCAGATTTTGCTGCTGAACTTTACCTTTTCAAAGAGGCCTCTCTTCTCATCACTATGTAAAGAACTCCCCCCTCTACTCACACAATTCTGTTATCAGCTGGTTTCCTTCATAGCATACTTATCACTATCAAAAATCATTTTATTTATCTGTTGATTGTCTATCTCTCCTCTGGTAGAATGGAAACTCCTTGAGAGCAGCAAACCTGTATCTAGAACAGCACCTGACATGTAGCAAACACTCAATAAGTATTTTTCAAATGGACAAACTCGTGCAGTATGCTTTGTTCTTTTAAAAACTACATTTCGGGGCGCGTGGGTGGCGCAGTCGGTTAAGCGTCCGACTTCAGCCAGGTCATGATCTCGCGGTCTGTGAGTTCGAGCCCCGCATCAGGCTCTGGGCTGATGGCTCAGAGCCTGGAGCCTGTTTCCGATTCTGTGTCTCCCTCTCTCTCTGCCCCTCCCCCGTTCATGCTCTGTCTCTCTCTGTCCCAAAAATAAATAAACGTTAAAAAAAAATTTTTTTAAAAAACAAAAAAACAAAAAAAAAAACCACTACATTTCAAGTATATAATAACCACCTCCTTGACATTGTCCCACTTTTTGTCTAGAAGAGGCACACTTTTGGTGAAAAGTATGATTATTGAAACTGCTTAAATCTAGGGATATGAGACAGGAACTTTTTTCAGCACACCAGAATAAACTGTTATATCTGGTCTATCACCAATCCTAGCTCTTTCCACAATGTGGGCCAAGATATGACTTTGTGAAGAGAATCTGTTTTTTATTACTTTCCTCTAGATAGTGTTTGCTTTTTTCTAACTTAAAATTCATTACATTCTTTTTCAGGATTCTAGGCTATTACATAATTCCTTAAATGTCAATTTACTGAAATTTAGCCCTTAATGTTACATCTTTCCTTCTTTCATACCATTACAAAACATCTTAAATAGAAACAGAGCTACTATTAGGTGCCATGACACACAGAGCCTGAGATCCGAGCATAGGGTCCCATCCCATCTTTCAAAGAGAACATTAGAAATGGGCAGGGGTAGGGGGGCAGCGTGTGGGGCTGAGATTAGAAAGTACACTGGGATAGGAAGAGTGGCACTACTCCAATGTAGAGGTGTGGCCAAACTTCACAAGACAAAATAATCACTGAGTAAGTAATATCATTCCTTCACCTCCACCCCCAGGAATAGCAATAAATATCTCTAAGAACAAATAATACTTGTAAAGCCTTATACCAGAGGATACATGAGTACCCAGTCTTGGAGAGAAAAAAGAAGACTGATCAGGAATAAAAGCCAGGCAGGCCTTCAGTGAAATACAATTTAATATTTTGTTCTCAATTTTTATTTAGGATTGAAATCCACAGTGGAAGCTTTTGTCCATCGTATTATTCAATATCTTTTATGTAAGGACCAGGCAATACATGCTTCCTAGAATTTAGTACAAGGGACAAATCTCACTTTTAGCTCAAAGTTGAAATTTTTTTTTTTTTTTTTTATCAAACAATGCAAACTCTATGCTGTCATGGACTTTTAGAGCTGGAAGGGTCTTTAGAAATTATCTAGCCCAGCATTTTCTAAAGCATCCTTTAGGTGTCATGAACAAAAAAAGAGCTCTATAAGCAAACGAATCTCTTTTTTTCTATAATTGTTGAGATACAAATCAGGTTACATTAATTAAACAAGAAGGCCATTAGACTGAGGTGGTTTTAATGCCTCAGTAGCCTATTTATACAGGCCAAAACCTAAGTTTATAATACCTCAAGATTAAGAAATCGAAACCTAAGGTCAACCAATCACAAACAGCCACCTGGGCTTTCTGGATAAGGCAACTTCTCAACCTATAGCCAATCAAATAATTTCCTTGCTTTGCTTCCACATCTTCTCTATGAAAATCTTTCCTCCAGCTCCTGTCACTTCCCATTCAGTGCTACTGGATTCAAATCAATTTTTGCTCAGATAAACTCTTAAAAATTTTAATATGCCTTAGTTTATACATTAACAATCATGACCACTAAATTCACCTTTTGACTTTTATTTATTTTTTAAAGATATCCTTTTAAGTAATCTCTACACCCAACCTGGGTCTTGAACTTACAACTGGAGATGGAGAGTCACATGCTCTACTAGCTGAGACAGCCAGGCTCTCCCTAAACTCACCCTTTTAAAGCGCACAATTCAGGGCGCCTGAGCGGCTCAATCGGTTAAGTCTCTTGGTTTCCACTCAGGTCATAATCTCATGGTTCATGGGTTCGAGCCCCACATCAGGTTCCACAGCTGGCAGCTTGGAGCCTGCTTTGGATTCTCTCTCTCCCTCTCTCTCTCTGCCACTCTTGGCTTACTTTATCTCTGTCTTTCTCAAAATAAATAAACAAACTAGGGGCGCCTGGGTGGCTCAGTCGGTTGAGCGTCCGACTTCAGCTCAGGTCATGATCTCGTGGTTTGTGAGTTCGAGCCCTGGGTCGGGCTGTGTGCTGACAGCTCAGAGTCTAGAGCCTGCTTCAGATGCTATGTCTCCCTCTCTCCCTGCCCTTCCTTCCCCCACTCATGCTCTGTCTCTCTATCTCTGTCAAAAATAAATAAACATCTAAAAAATTTAAATAAATAAGCAAACTTGAAAAAGTAAAGTGTACAATTCAGTTGTTTTAGTATATTCATGGAGTTGTGCAACCATCACTACTACTTAATTTCAGAACATTTTCATTTTTGTTAAAAGAAACTTCATACCTATTAGCACTCTTTTTCCCATTCCCCCAGCAAACAAGTTTCTTTACTATAGCATCTTTGGACCCTTTATCGTGACTCTAACATGTTTTGTGAATTTATAAGAGAAGGGTACAATGTGCAGTGTTTCCCAAACATATGTAATAGGTAACATTTCAGTGCTTACTATACGCTATTCTAAATTCTATACATGTATTACTTCAATTAATTCTCACAATAAAATCCAAAAGGTACCGTATATAGTAACTGTGGATATTAACACACAGAAAGATTAAGGCTAAGTAACTTGTTTAGATATTCTTAATTACTCCACTCTAATATTTCCCACAGAATCAACTGGTTGTGGGATGAGAATGGACAACTAGTATTCTATGGGCCATAACTTTGAAATGCTTTAGATCAACTTAATGAGAAAAAATGGGGCCCAGAAAGGTAAGCTGACTTAGCCAAGAATACACAGCATATTCCTATTTTCTCTCTTCCTCTCCTTTGATTTCTAACTGACAGCTAAATTTGGAACCCCATTACAATTAACTATCTAATCCCAAGTTCCTGACACAATTCTCGCCCACCTTTAAATACTTTATTTTCTTAAAACAAAAACAAAAAAGAAACTTTTAACATTGTAAACTGCCTTAAAACCTTGTTGGGATTGATTTTGCTCTTTCTACGTGTCTCTGCCTGTAGGCAATGCACATCCCCACCACTCTGCATGTATAAATCCCAGCCATCTTTCAATGTGTGCGCAGTTGGAGGATCCCTCAATTTTCCTCCTACCCTCGATGGATGTCATCTCTCTCCCTCTGTGCACCCACAGCCTTCCATCTCCTCTGGACACTCTGGCCTTGAATTCCAGCGGCTTGTGTCCGGCGGTACCCCACCTCCTGGCCAGAGAGCTCGCAGAGGGCAGGAGTTGGCATCAACTCCTAAAGCCCGGCACGTGGGAGATACTCTACCAGCACTGAACAACTTCTTATCCATTCTTGGTTTAATTCCTCAAGAGCAAGAACACAGCTCTCCTTAAGCCTGCTAGCCGCCCCCCACCCCCCACCCCGAAAGCAGAGTTTACTGATTTTTAATCTGTCTCCCGCCAGAGCCCAGCGCTGCCTTGGACACACAGTGCACCCACCGCGGGTGGCAGCAGAAGTGGATTTAGCAGGCTCGGGCCGATTCTCTTCAGAGACTTGAACCTGGCAGGCTGTGGGCCCCATCAACGCTCGCCGCCCGAGGTCTGCCTTACTGAACCGAGGGTCAAGTTACAACTGGCCAGGGCGGCGGTAAGGCGCCTGCACCTCGGAAATCCCATCCAACCCTCGCCACCGTTCCGGGCGAAGGCATTTCACCCTCTTCTGACAGAGACCTGAGCCCGGTGTGGGGTTGAGGGCCGAGACGGGGGCCCCTGCCCTGTGGGTGACACAGCAAGGCCTCGAACCCGGGTCACTGTTCCCAGGGCAGCAGATGACCGCGGCGGACAGAGCGGGAGTGAGGAGGGCTCCTCGCTCGTCCCGTCTCGACGCCCCCTCCCGCCCGCTGGGACCTCCGGACCCTGGGTCACCGCACTAGGTCCAGGTCTGGGGGTCGCGCGCACCCCCGCCCCCTGCTCCGCGCCATCTTGGAGAGCTGAGGCGGCCGCCCCGGACCGCCCCGAACCGTTGCTCCAGCAGTTACTCACCCGCACTGCCCGGGGCCAGGCCCCCTGCCACCTCCGCGACCTCCGCCACGGCCAGGAGAAGCAGCAGCGCGCCTCGCCGGGAGGCCGGGACGACCGCCATGTCCGGGCCAGGGGGTCCGGAGCCACGGGATGCTCGGACCCAGCCTGGCCGCCGCGGCTGCTCGCGGAGGCCCCGCCCCGGCGCCCTGGACCTTTAGTGATTGGCTGCGGCGCGCTCAGGCCCCGCCCCTCGGCCTCTGGGAGGTTCCAAAACCTGCTGGGGGCGGGAACATTCCCGAGACCCCGGCTCTTTGTTAGGACACAGCTGTGTGACGGCTTGTGTAGCGGAGTCCCGCAGCCAGCGTTCCCCAATCAGACGATGTCAGAGCTGGAAGGGCTCTTACAACGCCTCTAACACCACCCGAACTTAGCGGCTGGGGGTCACTGAGGCTCAGAAAGGAGACGGACCTTTCCAAGACTTGCAAGTCCAAGCCTGAACCAAAGGGACCTCTCCCTTTCACTTCTCTTTACCCTGAATGAGCTTCTTAATATCCTTTCTGCCTCACATCCAAAGAAGGCACCCGGGTCAACCCGACCTCCCTTAAAATCTGAGGGGCACTGACCAAGACATGGTCCCCTAACAGGGGACCGAGGGACAGATTCGCCACCAAAGCTCATGTAGCACATGTAGCCCCTATATGTCTTTGATGTACAGTTTAAGTACCAATTCCTATTAGGAAAAGGTGAGGGTTGGAATGCTTGTGTATCTAGATACGGAGAGCCTTGAATCTCAGGTTGAGTTTAGATTTCGTTTAAGATATAATTTGGAGGTGGGTCCCCACTCCACCCCTTACCCCCACAGCTATTTTGGGGAATGTTTGAGAGGGTCCACTGGTTTTCAAAGTGCCTCTCTTTCTCTTTCTTTCCCTCACCTTTTCCCCTGTCTCTGTTACTGAAATAATACCTTCTGTTCTCCCTTCCCCCCCCCTTTTTTTTTTAAAAAAGCATAACCACAGGTATGAATGTAAAATTCCTTAATATTATCAAATATCCAGTAAGTATTTAGATTCCCCTGTTGTCTTATCATTTCCTTTTACAGTTTTTCAAGTTCCAAACAAAATCTATATATTGAAATTAATTTATACGTGTTTTAAGTCCCTTTATATCTACTCTCTCTAAGTTTACAAAGGGAAAATATAAAGAAATCATGATGATCTTTCTAAGACATTTGTTCTGATGACAACTCCCTGGCTTCAAACCCTGAGAGGCCCTGTCTTTCTTACAGGATAGAATGATGTACAGTTATTTAACATGGTGTCAGAGGGTCTTAGCAATTGGACCCAATCACCTTTTCCAGCTTCATCTCCACACCTTCCCTGCACTTCTGCCACCATCCTTTCAGAACCTCTTACCTTTAGTTCAAGACCTTTGAGGTGCTTTCACGACTCTGTCACAACACCTACCTCCTCTGCACACAATTCCCCAGTTCCTGTGGTAACCCTCTCAGCTGAGGGAACTAAGACGGTTGCTCTAGGCCCAGCTGTGCCCTGGAAGGACCTGAGCAGGTAGTGGGCTCTGTATAAGGTGAGCAACACATCTTGCTTGGCTTGGGACTGTCCTGATTTTAAAACTGGAAGTCTCATATCCCAGGAACCTCCTTAGTCCCAGGCAAAACGGGACAATCGATCTCCGTAGTTCTGTGCACCTCAGAAAATGTAATAGAAAGACCTGTAAGGAGGTTTCCATATGGGAAAATGGAGTCATTTAGGTAATAGATACCACTCCCAAGATAATGCAACAGGTAGACTGTCATAAGCCATGCAGATGGGTCATTAGACCCCTGCGTCCCTGTATTAGAGTCCTAGGCTGCCATAACAGAGTACTATGAACTGGGTGGCTTAAGCAACAGAAATTTATTGTCTCAGAGTTCTTGAGGCTAGAAGTCTGAGATCAAAGTGTTGGCAGAGTTGGTTCCTTTTGGGAGCTGTGAGGGAGAATCTGACTCATGCTTCTCTCCTAGCTTCTGCTGTGTTACTGGCAGTCTTTGGCACTCCTGGGCTAACAGACGCATCACCTTCATCTCTGCCTTCATCTTCACATGGAATTTTCCTTGTGTGTGTGTCCAAATTTATCCTTTTTATAAGGAAAGCAGTCATGTTGATTTAGGGGCCCACCCCACTCCAGTATGACCTCATCTTAACTAATAACATCTGCAATAATCCCTATTTCTAAATAAGATCACATTTTGAGGTACTAGGGGTTAGGACTTCAACATACAAATTTGAGGGGAGACAGGGACACACAGTTCAACCCATAGCACTTCCTAAAGGAAAGACCATCTACTCGTCCTATCAGAAATCATTGACTCTGAAGGAGAGGCTGAAGAAGGGGGAAAAGGATAAAGGACTGGTCAGTTGCCGTTCAAAGATCCTAAGTCTCCCAAGGATAGGAGTGGTTGGGCGCACCTCTGTTGACTCACAGAGGTGATACCTGGAGTCTATGCACAAAAAGAAGGCTTGAATACTTGGAGATCTCTTAGCTATAGAATCAGAAATGACTTTATTTCCAGGTAGTTCCTATGAGATATGGCAGCAAAGCTGAGGTCCTCCCACACCAAAAGATAGCTGACTGGCCACTATATCCTATACAGAGCACAAGCGTGGGAGGGGCAGAGAGAGAGGGAGACACAGAATCATAAGCAGGTTCCAGGCTCTGAGCTGTCAGCACAGAGCTGGATGCGGGGCTTGAACTCACGAACCACGAGATCATGACCTAAGCCGAAGTCAAACATTTAAATGACTGGGCTGCCCAGATGCCCTTATTACAGTCTATCTTCAAATAATAATTATCACTTCACGTAAAATGTATGAACATGACAGCAATATGAGTCCATTTTCCCCTTATCTTTTGTGCTAAAGTTGTCATACATTTTGCTTCCACACGCTGTTATTATTTTGCCTTTTTAAAAAGTTTTATTTATTTATTTATTTTGAGAGAGAGAGAGAGAGAGAACAATCAGGGAAGTGGCAGAGAGAAGGAGAGAGAGAATTCCAAACAGGCTCTACACTGTCAGCATGAAGCCCAATGCAGGGCTTGAACCCACGAACCAAACCTCGAGATCAGGACCTGAGCCGAAATCAAGAGTCAGACGCTCAACCGACTGAGCCATCCAGACACCCCTGTTTTGCTTTAAATAGCCGGTTATATAAACATGAGATTTTAAAATAAGAAACAATGTCTTTTATATTTACTTACATATTAAGCATTTCTGATGCTCTTCTTTCAAATTTTAGATCCAAATTTTTCTCTGGTATCTGGAGGAAAGAAACTTTTTAATTAAGAACACAACAGGTTTAAAAAAACAGACAAAAAACAAAGAACAGGGCAGGTTCTGTTGGTTTTAATTAGCTAGGATCCCATACTTTGTTTTTAGGAATTTATGCCCAGTAAATTTCTGAAGTTACTCCTTAATGAAAATAATTTTTCTGGGTTTGTTTAACCTAAATACATTTTAAAATCATGAACTGATCTATCTTGATAAGGAAGAGGTCTGTTTTGAATTCTTTAAGACTTGATGATATCTGGCTTTCTACGTATACAGTGCACCAATTTTAAAAATATTAACATATTTTTATTTCTAGTAATGCCTTCTCTAGAACTAAAACATGCGGGTAAGGCAGTCACCTCATCAGAGATGATTATTAGAGTAGAAAAGTAGACAGGACAATTCCTAACTTTTTGGTTTTAAAAATAGACCTTTGAAATTCCAGGCAGAGACAGTGGTCATTGGAGTAAAAGCTTTTGAGATGTTAGAACCTGGCCCCAAAGGCTGAGGGCATAAAATATTTATATGAACACAGACTTGGAAGAATATTCTGATAGACACAGTCCCGACTCCCCCCACCCCTGTCAGCCCCCAACAACTCACTCTGAGGGGGTGGGGAGGGATGCACTGGGGTGGGACCTAAAGCCCCAGAAAGGCTTGAGAATATGGGATAAGAGAGGATCCGAGCCTCACTCCTCACTTCCCATGGAGCTCAGGGAAATGGCACACCTCACTGAATTCCCCTGCACGCTGCATGATGGGAATGTGGACGGGAAACGGAGGCAAGTACGTCTTGTTCCCTGCTCTCCAGTTAGAGTGCCACAGAAGAGTGGCTGAATGTTTTCTGTGCCCTCCGAGAGGAGCAAGCAGGAGTGGAGAGCACACCGAGAGCCTGAAGAGGCCTCAAGATCAGAGCCGAAAGGCTGTGGCTGTTGTTTTGAGTGATCTATATAATTGGATGCCAGATGGGAGTGCAGGTGTCAGCAGAAACTGATGATGACAACTGAGGACCAGATGTCCTGCCTTCTTTCCCAGTCCCAGCTGGTGGGTTCGGCTCTATATATGCTTCTGAAAACTAGGAAGGGTGTTGAGAAGCCTTGCCTGAGCCGAGATCCCACCGAATTGACTAAGATTAAGTTTTAGTCACTTAGCAGAAAGGGGACTTGGAGAGACAGCTACCTGTCCATCAGCCCTTTTAGAAGTTGTTGCTTACAAGCAACTTTCCAGTCAGAGAAAATGTTTTCTGTTGTCATGTTCACTGCTAATTTAGTAACTGGGCATATGGCTTTAGAGATCAAAGGAGATGCCTGTGCCTTAAAGGAGAATCTGTGTATCTGACATCTCCATTGGTCCCTATCTTGAGATGTCACAGGAGGAAGAGAAGCCCTACCCCAGGGCATCCAACACCAACACTATAAAATTCAGCATTGTGACCCTCAATCTGTGGCTCATAAAATACGTGCCAGGCTCCGATACATCCTCTAAAGATAGGAGACTGTGAGCATGAAATTGTCCCCATTCCCCACTTTCCTTGTCTGTTTATTTCAGTAATTTCCAAACTTAGAAATATCATTTTTATTTTCTAGCCTATTTCAGTAATTTCCAAAGTTAAGAAATATTATTTTTATTTTTCAGCACTGGAATCTTTTTTCCAACAAAATCTTAGAGTCCTGCTATGTAAAATAGAAAAAAAAAAGGGCTGTTTTATTGTTACATTTCTTTTATCAGTTTAAATTTGTAACAATTGCTTGGTTCAAAGATAATGTATGAAAATTCAAAGATAATGAGATTATGAT